AAAAAAAAAAAAAAATGCAGATACGCTGGATCAGAATCACTAAGGCTGGGACCCCAGTAAGCTCTGCCAGGATCCAGTCTCACAAAAATGACTCTTCTGTGCACCATGCAGAAATGAAGAAGGAGCCTCCAGGAATGACAGGGAGGAGGGAGAGTGCCTGGAAGTAGTACCCCCTACACACACACCATCATTCCTTAAGGACTGGTTTTCTTCTAACAGGCCCTGGAGAAAAGGCTGAAGTGTAGGACTCTGGCAGACAACACAGGATTCACTCAAACCCTCTTGGTTATGGGGTCAGGAGCGGGGTAACTGGCAGCTACCCTGGAGGGCCTGGAGACTGCCCATCCCACTGTCAAGTCAGACAAGGGGAGCCCTGCACTGGAGGAACCATGTCCTAGGCAGGGCTGGACATTCAGAAAACCTCGCTCGTGTTACAACTCAGCAGGTTTTGGGTGTGCTTTTGGCTCTGTGGCAGAGAGAGGAGTGGAGGAAAGATCCTTTCACCAGAACCAAGAAAACCCTGGTACAGATTCTGGCAACATCACTGACAAGCTGTGGGTGCTGAGAAAACTCACTGTCTCAGTCTCCTCGTCTACCTAGTGGGGTAGGTGCTATGTGCTTACTAGGTGACTAACAAGGCTGAAATGAGATCCTTTTGCAGTTCATAAGCCTGATGATTGGGCTTTCCCACTCAAGTATGAGATGTGCCTCCCTCAAATCTTGTTATAGTGTCAATACATACCTGCCTTTCATGGAAAAAAAAGTAAAGCTTAATTAACTTCAATGCCCCTCCCTTTTTTTTGAGACAAGATCTCATTCTGTTGCTCAGGCTAAAGTGCAGTGGCATCATCACAGCTCACTACATAACCTTAAACTTCTGGGCTCAAGAGTAAGTGGGACTACAAGGGTACACCACCATACCCAGCTAATTATATTAATTTTTATAGAGACAGAGTCTTGCTTTGAGCCCAGGCTGGCCTCAAATTCCTGGGCTCAAGTGATGCTCCCGCCTCGGCCTCCCAAACCACTGGGATTACAAATGTGTGCCACCACCCCCGGCCTCAATCTCTTAAATTTGTAAATTTACCAAAAGCCCTCACACATCTCCTTTCCTTTAAACCTTACAACACTGTAAAAATGTATCAGCACTTTCACTATACAGCTGAGGAACCAGAGAGGGGAAATCACTTGCCCAAGATCATTTGGCTGTTAACTATTAATAAAAGGTTGAGCTGAAATTTGAACCCAAGTCTAGGTGACGAGCACATGTTTCTTCCCCTCCTCCCCAAACCTGCTGCACTGTCTACTCTCTCAGAGGGCAAAAAAATAAACAATCCAAGCTTGAGTAGGTTGGCATGGTACTTGGCTTCTCCCATCCTGATCACAGTCAGACATAATACTGTCACCATAGAGCCTAGCCTCTCCTTGGGCAGCAGGAGTCCTTTTCAGAACCTAGGCAACCTAGTAGCTTGGGACAACCCTTACTCTGAGGGAATAATCTTAAGATCAATTTTTACATGTGGATGGGGGTAGGGACAGGAAAGAGAGAAACCAAAATTTCATCCCAATAGACTTTCTCACACTGACAGGGAAGGAGGGATTCTAACTTAGCAGAGCAAAGAAAAACTCACATTTGATATCTTCATCTGTAAGCCAGTAGCATACTAAAATGAGAAGTGCGGCTGGGTGCGGTGGCTCACTCCTGGAATCCTAGCACTCGGGGAGGCCGAGGCAGGTGAGTTCAGGAGTTCAAGACCAGTCTCAGCAAGAGACCTGGTCTCTACTAAAAACAGAAAAACTAGCCAGGCGTTGTGGCAAGTGCCTGTAGTCCCAGCTACTCAAAAGGCTGAGGCAAGAATCACTTGAGCAGGCTAGGCACCTGTGGCTCAAGTGGCCAAGGCACCAGCCACATACACCAAAGGTGGTGAGTTTGAATCCAGCCTGGGCCTGCCAAACAACAATGGGCAACGAAAAAATAGCTGGGCGTTGTGGCAGGTGCCTGTGGCCCCAGCTACTTGGGAGGTGGAGGGAGGAGACTCGCTTGAGCCCAGGAGTTGGAGGTTGCTGTGAGCTGTGATGCCAGAGCACTCTACTCAGGGGGACAGCTTGAGGCTGTCTCAAAAAAAAAAAAAATCACTTGAGCCCAAGAGCTTGAGGTTGCTGTGAGCTATGATGCCACAGCACTCTACCCAGGGTGACAGACTGAAATTCTTTGTCAAAAAAATGAATAAAAATTTAAAAAATAAAAAGTGCTACTGTGTTTCCCTGAAAATAAGACCTACCCCCAAAATAAGGCCTAGCAGGATTTCTATGCATTTGTTAAATATAAGCCCTACCCTGATAATAACACCTAGTGATGGGCAGATACGCTGCATAGCCATGGCACGCATTTCAGCATAGAGCAGTAAGGAAGACAGGAATACCTTTTATCTGCCACAGCTCCTTTCTCCCAGCTGGTTGGCACTTGCGCGTGTGGTAACCACGGTCGCAGGCATCCTATGGAGCACATGCGAACAGCTAGGGGAAAGGAGTTCACGCATCACTAGCACCAGCCCCACCAAGGTCGGCTCCCTGTCAGGTTCCAGAAGAAGATGACTTAACTGTATTTGAATAAATGTAGATTGTTGTATTATACTTAATAAAAATAAGATGTCCCCTGAAAATAAGCCCTAGTGTGTCTTCCTGAGAAAAAATAAATATAAGACAGTGTCTTATTTTGGGGGGAAACACGATATTAGTCTCACTATGATTATTCTCCCTGAATTAGTTTATAAATTTAATATGACTCCAGTAAAAATACTAACAGAATTTCTTTTTTATTGGTAAGGGTAGTATTAGCTAAAAGGAAAATTCGGGGTGGGGGGTGCTGGTAAAACCTAATGAACAGGAGGAGTACAGGGAGGATTGCTAAAGCCTAATAGGACTCTGGAAACAAATATCCATCAGCAAGGGACCAGTTAAATAAATTATGGTACACTTGCCCTATAGAAAATTACACTAGTATTTGAACAAAAAAATTAAGGAAGCTCTTAATGTATTCATATACAACTCCAAGATACAATAAGTGGAAACAACAAGGTACAAAACTGGGTATAAACTATGTTACTATTCATATAAAAGCAAGGGAGAAAACACAAACATTTTTGTTGTAATAATTATCTATTGCTATGAACCAAATTGCCCCAAAACTTAGTGACTTTAAACATTTATTATGTCAGTTTACATGGGTCAGTAATCTGAGTACACCTTAGCTGATTGTCTTTGGTGAAGAGCCTCATGGGGTTTTAATCAAGCTGGTAGCTGCTGTGGACCCATCTGAAGGCTCAACTGGGGGAGGAAGGATCCACTTCCAAGTTCACTCATGTGGTTGGCAGGCTTTAGTCTCCTCACAGGACCACCTCAGTGTTGCAGGTAACTTCCTCCAGGGCGGTGAACCAAGAGTGAGAGAAAGCACCAAAGATGCAAACAACGGTCTGTCTCCATAACTTAGTTTCAGACATGATATCCTACCACTGGTGCAGTATTCTTCTCATTAGAAGCAAATCTATAAATTCAGTCAACACTGAAGGGTAAGGGTGTATACAAGGGCAGGAAAACTAAAGGTGGGACCACTGGGGGATGTCTCAGAGGATACCCACCTTCACACTTATATAAGCAAATATTTCTGAAAGAATACACTAGAAATATTTAATATTGGTTGCCACTAGCAAAGGGAACTGGGTAACTGGGAAAGAATTTTTCACTAAATTTTTTTTTTTTTTTTTTTTTTGGTTTTTGTTTGTTTTTGAGACAGAGTCTTAATCTGCTGCCCAGAGCGCAGTGGCCTCATCATAACTCACTGCCACCTTGAACTCCTAGGTCAAGCAATTCTCCTGCCTCAGCCTCCCAAGCAGCTGGGAGATGCCCACCACAGTGCCAGATTATTTTTCTATTTTTCATAGAGACTGGGTCTCACCTCTCTTTTTCAGTCTGGTCTCCAGATCTTGGCCATAAGTAATCCTCCCACTTCAGCCTCCCGGAGTGCTAGGATTACAGGCATGAATCACCATGCCTAGCCTAAATATGCTTTTGTGTCTTTTTTATAATGTGGATATATCACTTAATCAAATTTATTTTAAATTTTAAAAGAATGGCATTTTAACAGACAAAAAGCTAAGAGGAAACAAAATGAAAACAATTATACTAAATTATTGGGCCAGGTGTGGTGGCTCACATCTGCAATGGTGGTTCATGCCTCTAATGGTGGCTTATGCTGTGAAGACCAAAGCAGGTGGCTTGCTTCAGTTCAGGAGTTCAAGACCAGCCTGAGCAAAAGCAAGACCCGTCTCTACTTAAAAAAAAAAAAAGAAAAAGAAAAACTGAGGCAAGAGGATCCCTGGAGTCCAAGAGTTGGAGGTTGCTATGAGCTGACGCACAGCACTCTACCTAGGGCAACAGGTAGACCCTGTCTCAGAGTACTTGGCTCCCAAAGTACTAGGATTGGTGGATCACTTGAGCATAGGCGGTCTATAATTGTGTCCATTCCCCCTCCATGACAGAGCAAGACCCTGTCTCTTAAATAAAGAGCAAGACAGAGCAAGACTCTGTCTCAAAAAAAAAAAAAAAAAAAAAAAGGTGAGGGGATGGTGGTGCCTGTAGCTTAGTGAGTAGGGGCTGGCCCCATATACCGAGGGTGGTGGGTTTGAACCTGACCCCAGTCAAGCTGCAACAACAACAACAAAAAAAATAGTCGGGCGTTATGACAGGTGCCTGTAGTCCCAGCTACTTGGGAGGCTGAGGCAAGAGAATCACCTAAGCCCAAGAGCTGGAGGTTGCTGTGAGCTGTGACATCACAGCACTCTACTGAGGGCAACAAAGTGAGACTCTATCTCTAAAAAAACAAAAAGGCTCAGAGCCTGTGGCTCAAGTGGCTAAGGTGCCAGTCACATACACCTAAGGTGGCGGGTTCAAATCCAGCCCAGGCCCGCCAAACAATGATGGCTGCAACCAAAAAAAAAAAAAATCATAGCTGGGCGTTATGGCAGGTGCCTGTGGTCCCAGCTACTTGGGAGGCAGATGCAGAAGACTCGCCTGAGCCCAGGAGTTTCAGGTTGTTGTGAGCTGTGATGCCACGGCACTCTACCTAGGGGGGCAGCTTGAGGCTCTGTCTCAAAAAAAAAAAATTATAGGCAGCGCCCGTAGCTCAGTGGGTAGGGTGCCAGCCACATACACCCAGGTTGGTGGGTTCAAACCTAGCCTGGGCCAGCTAAACAACTGTAACAAAAAAATAGCCAGGCATTGTGGTAGGCACCTGTAGTCCCAGCTACTCCGGGAGCTGAGGCAAGAGAATAGCTTAAACCCAAGAGTTTGAGGTTGCTGTGAGCTGTGACACCATAGCACTCTAACAATAGCGACATAGTGAGACGCTGTCTCAAAAAAAAATTATACTTAAGTAATATATAGTTATTACTAAGCACCATAAACATATTTGGTTCTATTTAGTTAATACTTAGTTTCAGGGAGGAAGTTTAAACCATTCTTTATTCCACAGACATACACAAGCAACTCCCATGTGTAGAACAAAATACACTTGAACTAGGATTTAGGGCTCTTCACAATTTGGTTCCAATCCCTGCTTATGGGCCCATTTCTTGCCATTCTTCCACTTCCATCCTTCTGTGAACTCTTGTTACTTGCTATACAGAGCTAGTTGGTTTTTCTTTCATTTCTTCCTTCCTTCCTTTTTATACTAAACGATTAATATTTGCCGATCTAGGGAGTAACACCAAGAAGCACAATGCCTGGCACACAGTAAACCTGTGCTGCTAGCTTCCCTTCTATGTGAAACACTGCCTTTGCCCGTGTCCCTGCACATGGAATACCCTGCACCCCTCTCCTAGTCCCAAGTAAAACTGCCCTCAAGGGCTACCTCGGATGTCACTGTCCCCATGAAGTAGTCCCACATTAGTTATCACCTCTGTTCTCCCATAGTACTCTGTTTTCACTTCAACTGTAACAATTTTATTATTACATTATAGTGTTACAAGTTAAATCTATAAAAAAGCAAGACCTGCCTCTAAAAATACCCAGATGGGCTGAGTGCAGTGGTGGCTCGCACCTGTAATCCTAGCACTCTGGGAGGCCAAGGCAGGTAGACTGCCTGAGCTCACAGGTTCGAGACCACCCTGAGCCACAGCAAAACCCCTGTCTCTAAACATACCCGAGCATTGTGGCAGGCGCCTGTAGTCAGGAGGCTGAGGCAAGAGAATCACTTGAACCCAAGAGTTTGAGGTTAGTGTGAGCTACGACTCTACTGCACTTTACAGAGGGCAACAAAATGAGACTCTGTCTCTAAATAAATAAATAAATAAATCTGTAAAACTCAAAGCCTGGTCCTTGAACAATAAGTATCAATGTTTCTTGGGACCTTGCTGAAAAGGCAGAATCTCAGACTCCATCCCAGACTTACAGAACCAGAATTTAAATTTTAAGGCTGGGCATGGTAGTTCACACCTATAATCCTAGTACTTTGGGAGCCAAAGTAGGAGGATCACTTCAGCCCAAGAGTTCAAGACGAGCCTGGGCAACACAGTGAGACCCTTTCTCTACAAAAAGTAGAAAAATTGGGCAGGCATGGCAGTGCACACCTGTATCCCCAGTTACTTGGGAAGCCAAGGTGGGAGGATCACTTGAGCATAGGCGGTCTTTAATTGTGTCCATTCACTCCATGACAGAGCAAGACCCTGTCTCTTAAATAAAAAAGTAAATAAATAAATTTTAACAAGGTATCAGTGATTCACATGCACATTAAAATTTTAGAAACAGGTTTAAATCTTTCCCTGGTTGACTGTAAGCCTTTCTAGGTCTGTCATCTCTGTCCCCATCTAAGACTCAATACTCAAGTATCTTTTAAGTTCTACTTGAAATATTTATGTATTCATGATAGATTTTTTTTTAATTCCTGTAAAAATATTGTCACACTGTTAAGTAGTTACCTGGTAAATTTGGTACATTTCTATATAATAATTTCATTTTTCAAAATCAGAATGTATTACCTTTCTAGTCAGAAGAACATGAAGATTTTGAAAAACACATGTAAAAGGTTAAGAAAAAATGTTAACTGTAAGATAAAACACATTTATAAAAGATATACAATGTATATAATTATGTTAAGCTATATTTACAATATGAAAAGACAGGCAGCTATATTAAGTTTAAAAAATTAGCAGTATGTATCAAAACACTAGTTCTTTTAAAAAATTGTGAATAGACACTAAAATATATATCAAAATATCTGATGGAGTTTTATATTTTTCTACATTTTACATTTTTTCTAGTTTTCCTATGCTTTTTATAAAATTGTATCACTTTCATAAAAAGCAAAAAATAGTTATATTCATTTTGAAAAATATCTACTCTTAAGTCAAGCACAGTGGTTCATGCCTGTAATCTTAGCCCTCTGAGAGGCCAAGGTGGGAGGATCTCTGGAGCTTAGGAGTTGAAGCCCAGCCTGAGCAAGAGTAAGACCCCATCTCTACTGAAAAAAAATTAGCTATGCATTATGGTGGGTGCCTGTAGGAGTCGCAGCTACTCAGGAGGCTAAAGCAGGAAGATTGCTATAGCCCAGGAGTGAGTGGTTGCTGTGAGCAAGGCTGATGCCATGGCACTCTAGCCCAGGCAATAGAGCAAGACTGTCTCAAAAACAAAACAAAGGTGGGGTGGGTGCAGACAGGTGACACGGCAGCTGCGTTTGTGCTGCTGGGCATCCAAGGCACTGCTAGGGCTGCCGGTGCAGTCTCCATTTTCATAGATGAGATGGGCCCCAAGACACACCTCACCTGCGCCTTGAATGAGAACACTACAGAGATCCCTGGCCACCGCCAGGTTGTGAAGGAGGACTCACAGACTGGCCTGACCATGGAGTACTACATGGATCCCCATGACCGCTCAGGAGAGTACTCATGTGTCTTCCTCCCTGAGCCTGCAACCAGGGCCAACATTGAGGGGCCCCCAATGTTAAAGCTGTGAAGAAGTCAGAGGATGCCAATGAAGGGGAGACGGTCACACTGGCCTGCAATTCAGACTCCTTCCCACAGTCACTGACTGGGTCTGGCACTAAATTTAATTAAATTTAGTATCTACCCATTTTTCTGTCAACCCAAAATTCATCTGTATTGTGTATCAAACTGGCTTTTAGAATTTGGACTTGGCACAATAAATATATATTTCTAGCTTTGCAAAAACAAAACAAAACAAACAAAAAAAATCCCAAACTACTCCTTATTAAGCCCCTTCTATTCAAGGATTGAGATTTCTACAATACCCTTGGAAGCTGAAAGTTCTGAAAACAACATTGCACAGATGAAGATGCTGAGCTCAGAAATGTAACCCTGGTTGTCTAACTCAGGACTGATGTTCCCCCACCTGTGCACAGGAATGCACCAAGTCAGGTACCAGATTGTGCCAAAAAAATCTGTCATTTTAGGAGTCTCACTACTGTCAGTAACACTTGTCTACAGAGACCATGCATTCACAACAATTCGTGCTCTACCACCTCCCCCTGGTGGCAGGATCTGGAAACTGAACGTGGCTTGGTGATAGCAACTATTCAATTGACCAGAATTGTTTTATTTTCCATCACTATCATCCTGGTTTGTTTAAATCATCAAAACCACTTTCTCGTTCATCAAGGACTCAGGTATTGTCACAAATACCAAAACCAGGACCTGGCATCAACCATACTCAGTGCTCTGAATGACACCGATGGCAGTGCCGCTCTTTACCCCATCCTTTCCTCCCGTACCACTTTGGGTTCTGTGATGGACACTGTGGCATCTTGTTCTTCACCATCACCTTTACTACTTTCTCTCTGCTTCCACCCACTTTCTTGAGCTTCAGAAAAGGGCAAAAGGTGGTCCATGTACTCTCAGTCAGGGCCTGGGATGGAGAAACTCCAATGCTGGAGACACCGAGCACCAATCCTCCTGAGACCCAACCCTTAGCTTCTAGACTTGATATTTCAAATGTATCAGGTTGAAACACTGGCATTTCTTTTTTTTTTTTTGAGACAGAGTCTCACTATGTCACATTCAGTAGAGCGCCGTAGTGTTACAACTCACAACAACCTCAAACTCTTGGGCTTAAGCGATTCTCTTGTCTCAGCTTCCCAAGTAGCTGAGACTACAGGTGCCTGCCACAACACCTGGCTATTTTTTCTGCAGTTGTTGTTTAACAGGCCTGGGCTGGGTTTGAACCTGCTGGCCTCAATGCTTCGGGCACCAAGCCTACACTTGACATTTCTTTAGAACAGAACGCAGCGATGCCAGTCTTCCACTGTGGTGGCCCTGGTCTCCAGACAAATAGTTTCCTTACTCTTCCAGGAAGAAGGAAACATTCAACAGGATACCTAGAATAGGAAGAAAGAAAAACTGTGGCATCACTTGCTCTCCAAAGAACATAAAACATCAGATTTATAAGACAGAGAGGCAGAGCAATGGCACCTCTCTAGTGCTTACAAAGAGGTGAATCACACAGCAAGCAAAGAGACATGAAGGAATAAACAAAATCTAGCACCTTGTACAAGGTCTTGCTGTTCATCTTTTGAAATTCGGTCCCACGCCTTGGGCAAAGCTTGGATGTTTGCCAAGTCTCCCCACTGGATCGAGGAGAAGAGAGATTTTCTTTTCAGATACCTTCCTGGAAGTTAAGGACTGCTCAGATGAAATACGTTGACGGAAAAAATACCCTGAGCTAAAAGGAGCAGCTATCCTTACATTTTATCAAGTGGGCAGCATTAAGCTATACTACAAATATTTCTTGAGCAACTCTTTATTAACATGGCTGGTAGGAAACATATAAGCAAAGGCACAGAACGGCAACACATAGAATGGGTTCAGGGAAAGCAAAACTTCCACTTCAGTGGCAAGGACAACATGTAAAGAACAGAAGAATATGGGCGGTGCCTATGGCTCAGTGAGTGCGGCACCAGCCCGATTTACCGAGGGTGGCGGGTTCAAACCCAGCCCTGCCCAAATCACAAAAAAAAAAAAAAAAAAAAAAAAAAAAAAAAAAAAAATAGCTGGGTGTTGTGGTGGGCGCCTGTAGTCCCAAGCTACTCAGAAAGCTGAGGCAAGAGAATCGCCTAAGCCCAAGAGCTGGAGGTTGCTGTGAGCTGTGACACCACAGCACTCTACCAAGGGTGATAAAGTGAGACTCTGTCTCTAAATAAAAAAAAAAAGACAGAGAATAGTAGAAAAGGCAGCTGAAAGGTAGGTTACACCAGAACACAAAGGACACTGGAGTACCAAGGCAGTGATTCTGAACTTTATGCTACTAACAACAGAAGCCATTCGTATAGAAGCAGAGAACAATTCCAATACAAGTAACAGGATCAGAAATAGATTTCCTGAAGCTATATGGATTGAGATCATTAACTGGAGATTGTTTAGATGCAGGGGTATCCAACTTGCAGGCCGTATGCTGATTTTATAAGGACTTTTTTTACTTATCTGTGGTGTCAGAAATTATGAGTAGTATACATGGACCTTTTTTTTATTTTTGCTCATCAGCTTTTATTAGTGTTTTTGTGTTTAACACGTTGCCCGAGACAACTCTTCTTCTAATGTGCAGCAGACAAAAAAAAAGGCTGGACATCCCTGCAGGTGAGACACTAGAAACAAAGAAACGTGTTAAGAGGTCATATGCAATTATGAATCCAAGTTAGAGGTAAAAAACCTTGGAAGTAGCAGAGGGGATAGAGAAAGAAAATATAACAAGTGCCAGGGAAAATGAACTAAAAGACTTGACAGTGTAAACATTCTAGCACACAGGTCAGTATTGAGTAAGTGCTCGGTATTGTTTCTCTTACTGTTGTTTTGGAGACTGAGTCTCTCTCTCTTGGTCTGACCAGGGTGCAGTGGCATCATCAAAGCTCACTGCAACCTCAACTCCTGGGTCCAAGCAATCCTCTTGCCTAAGCAGGGACTACAGGCCTTGTGCCACCACACCTGCCTAATTTTTCCATTTTGTTGTAGAAATGGGGTCTTGCTCTTGCTCAGGCTGGTCTCAAACTCCTGGCTTCAAGTGATCCTCTCGCCTCAGCCTCCCAAAGTACTAGGACCAGGTGTGAGCCACCACACCTGGCCCCTGAGGATTGTTAGCTATAGTTTCTGCTGCTTCAGTCCACGCTGCTGCTACTGTTACTACTTCTATTACCACAACTACTGCTACTCCTGCCATTAAAAGAAAACACAGGGTTGATTCTACAGCTCAAGTAAAGAGGGGTTGAATTTGAGGATTAGATCAAGGATTTCAATTTTATTTTATTTTTTTTGAGACAGAGCCTCAAGCTATCACCCTGGGTAGTGCTGTGGCACAACCTCCAATGCCTGGGTTCAAGTGAGTCTCCTGCCTCAGCCTCCCAAGTAGCTGGGACCACAGGCGCCCACCACAGCGCCCAGCTATTTTTGGTTGCAGCCATCATTGTTGTTTGGCGGGTCCAGGCTGGATTCGAACCCGCCACCTTAGGTGTATGTAGCTGGCGCCTTAGCCACTTGAGCCACAGGCGCCGAGCCAAGGATTTCAATTTTAAACCTGAGTTTGAGTTCCAAGGACAATCCAGTTGGAGGCATCTGCAGGAAAATGAAACTCAAAACTAGAAATACTAAAGGTTGTGTAAAGCCTCTCAAGTAGCTGGGACTACAGGTACCTGCCAGGATGTCTGCCTAATTTTTTCTATTTTCAGTAGAGTTGGAGGTCTCGCTTTGCTCAGGCTGGTCTCAAACTCCTGAGTTCAGGCGATCTTCTCGCCTCAGCCTCCCAAAGTGCTAGGATTATAGGCATGAGCCACTGTCCTCAGCCAGCTTGCAAGTTATTTACATGAAGGATGAAACTTAAGCCAGAGGGTAGATTTGAGCATCAGGTAAAAATGGAGAGAAAAAGATCAGAACTTCAATTATTTGGTCTTTCTGCTTTCACCCTTGCCCCCTATACCTCTAGTCTTTCCCCAGAACACAGCCAGGGTGATATTGTTAAAAATATAGGTCTTATCCAGTTACTCCTTATTCAAAACCTTCTAAGAGCTTCCTCAGTAAAAGCCAAAATTCTTTCACAGACCTTGAGGGCCTACAAAGTTCAGCCACTGTTTTGCTAACTCATCTCCTATTAGGCTCCCCTCAGACTCTGCTCTAGCCACAGTGGGCTCCCTGCTATTTCCTGAATACACCAGGTATGTGCTTACCTTGGGCCTTTAGATTTGATGTTTCCTCTGCCTGGAACACCCTCCTTCCAAATATCCACATAGGTCCCTCCCTCACCCTCTTCACATCTTTGTGCAAATATCACTATCTCATGAGACCTGTATTTACTGCTGTATTTAAATTCACAACCCCATCATCACTCCTGACTTTCTCCATAGCACTTATCACTGACATTCTATTTTCCTTTCAAAATGGCTATCTCTCAGCAGAGAACAGTGCCCTATAGGTAGTAACCACTCCATAGACCTAAACTTTAGAGCAGGCGTCCTCAAACTACGGCCCGTGGGCCACATGCAGCCTGCCTAGGACATTTATCCGCCTGCCGGGTGTTTTTGCCGCTGCTGCCTGTCCTGCTTAGCAGCCAACTCATTCTGAGGCCTGCAGTCTGGCCTTCCAAAAAGTTTGAGGACACCTGCTATAGAGTATCTCCATCTTGCAAAAAGTGAAATCAAAAACGCTTTCTAGGACGGCTGTGGACACTACCTGAAATGTGTGCAAAGGATATGAATTTCGATAATGTCTCTCAATATCTTGCAACCACTCCAACATGTCAGCCACAGAGGGACTCACAACTGAAGGCTGCAGGACAGCATCGATGCCAACCACGTCTGCATGCTGCTCATAGGTCTGAAACACTTGCTCCACATGGCTGCTGACCGTGTCGCGCACCTTGAGGAGGATGGCTCTGGAGAAAAGAGTGTGACATTAGGCAACATCAGGAAAAAGGTTTAAGGCAAAGTTTCTCAACTTTGGCACTACTGATACATAGACATGTATTTATTTTTCATATGCTACACACAATGGAATACTATTACTAATATTTTGGACTGAATGATTCTTCTTTTTTTTTTCCGAGACAGAATCTTACTCTGTTGCCTGGGGTAGAGTGCCGTGGTGTCATAGCTCACAGCAACCTCAAACTCTTGGGCTCAGGCAATCCCCTTGTCTCAGCCACCTGAGTAACTGGGACTACAGGTTCTTGCCACAATGCCTGGCTAGTTTTTCTGGGTTTTGGTAGAGACGGGGTCTCCCTTTTTTTCAGTCTGGTCTCAAACTCCTAAGCTCAGGCAATCCACCTGCCTTGGCCTCCCAGAGTGTTAAGATTATAGGCGTGAGCCACCACATCCAGCGGGACTGCATGATTCTTTGTTGTGGCAGGCCGCTCTGTGCGCTGTTGGATGTTTAGGACCATGCTTCACCTCTGCCCACTAGATGACAGGAATAAACCATGCCTCGACCCTCCCAACTCATAATAATCAATGTCTCCAGACATTGCCAAATGTCTCCTCATAGAAAAACCACCCCCAGGAGGACCACCAGTCTAAAGAGATGAGTGATGGTGCTTTGGAGGCAGGGTAGGGGTGGCTTAAAGATGGAAAGGCTGAAGAAGTTATATGACTTTCAAAGTGCTGTGATGAGACCAGTTGGCAGATAAGGTAAAGACCAAGGAGCCTTTCTGGGCTTGCCACAGAACTGTTTGGAGCAAATGTCATTCATAATCCCATGCCACAGAGGTAGGAAGAGAATAAGCAAGAGGAAAGGGAAGCAAGACACCAGCACTGTCTACATGCTCCCTAGCCTCACCCTAGTAAACCCCTTAGCGGTAAAGTTTGGGCTCTGGATGCATGCAGACTACTGTGCATCTTCAGAAAGTTACTTATTCTCCCTCAGGCATAAACACGATCTGTTTTACTCACTGCACATCCCAAGTACTTAGGAGAGAGACTGTCACATAAAACAACAAATCCTTATTCAACAAATGAGCGAATGAAAGGGACTGTAAAGATTAAATAAAATAATGCATATAAAGTACTTAGGGCAGCGCCTGGCTTACAGTAAATATTGTTTTTCGTTGGTGATTCCAAGGGGCCCTGCCACTAAGACAAATTTTGCCACAACTTACCAAAGGGCAAGTTATTCTTTAGCCTAGTACTGTCTTTCACAAATATTTTTCTGTGGCTCAGAATAAAAAAAAAATAGACTTAAAGCAATAACACCCATACACCAAATGTAATCAATTAAAATAAAAGTTCACAAGGCTAGGTGCAGTGGCTCATACCTGTAATCCCAGCACTGGGGGAGGCCAAAGGGGGTAGAACGCCTGAGCTCAGGAGTTTGAGACCAGCCTGAGCAACAGAGAGACCCCATCTCTAAAAATAGCTAGATGCTGTGGCGGGCACCTGTAATCTCAGCTACCCAGAAGGCTGAGGCAAGAGAATCACTTGAACCCAAGAGTTTGAGGTTGCTGTGAGCTATGATACCATGGCATCTATGAAGAGTGACAAAATGAGACTCTGGGGTGGTGCCTGTGGCTCAGTGGGTAGGGCGCCAGCCCCATATACAGAGGGTGGTGGGTTCGAACCCAGCCCCAGCCAGCTAAAACAGCAGTGGCAAATGCAACAAAAAATAGCCAGGTGTTGTGGTGGGTGCCTGTGGTCCCAGCTACTTGGGAGGCTGAGGCAAGAGACTCATTTAAGCCCAAGAGTTGCAGGTTGCTGTGAGCTACGATGCCATAGCACCCTACTGATGGAGACAGAGTGAGATTCTGTCTCAAAAAGAAAATAACAACAACAAAGTACTGGGCAGTGCTTGTGGCTCAAAGGGGTAGGGCGCCAGCCCCATATACTGGAGGTGGCAGGTTCAAACCTGGCCCCCAGCCAAAAACTGCAAAAAAAAAAAAAAACAAAAAAAAACCAAAGTGAAACTCTGTCTCAAAAAAAAAAAAGGGGGGGGTGAGCCATTTCCACTACCCCTCTCCTGCTAAGTCTTAACTTTTGTAGAGCTTTTTTTAGCTCTATCAATAAACTCTGAATACTCTAATGTGGTATATACTTTTTATTTCATCCTGGTTGTCCTGTCCACTCAGATTTTAAAAAGCGGGGGGCACTTGGTGCCTGTAGCTCAAGCAGGTAAGGTGCCAACCACATAACAGAGGAGCTGGTAGGTTCGAATCCAGCCTGGGGCCCACCAAACAATGACAACTACAACCAAAAAATATCTGGGTGTTGTGACAGGCGCCTGTAATCCCAGCTACTTGGGAGGCTGAGGCAGGAGAATTGCTCATAGCAACTTACTCAGGGTGATAGCTTGAGACGCTGGCTGCTCAAAAAAGGGCGGCACCTGTGGCTCAAAGGAGTAGGGCACTGGTCCCATGTGCCAGAGGTGGAAGGTTCAAACCCAGCCCTGGCAAAAAAAACTGCAAAACAAACAAACAAACAAACAAACAAAAACAAAAAAAGAGACTCTAGCTACTCAGGGCGACAGCTTGAGACTCTGTCTTAAAAAAAAAAAAAGATGTATAATTCAGTGGGTTTTTTTTCTTTTTTTGGAAAATTCACAAAGTTGTGCAACCATCACCACTATCTAATTCTAGATTTTCCTCATCCAAAAAGAAACTCCACATCCATTAGTGTCAACCCCAATCCTGTTCCCCAACCCCTGGTAACCATGAATCTATTTTCTATCTTTATGGATTTGCCTATTCTAGATATTTCATATAAATGGAATCATATAATATGTGGTCTTTTGTGTCTGATTTCTTTTACTAGAATATTTTCAAGATTCATCCATGTTGTACCTGGGTATCAATATAGTCATCCCTCACTAACTGTGGGTTGATTGGCCCCAGGATCCCCTGCAAACGATAAGATCCACAGATGCTTGAGTTTTTTGAAAAAAAAAAAAGTCTATAAATGTTCAGTACAAATGCAACCATACTGTATGATTCTCCTGCCCTCATCCATGGCTGGTTGAACCCATAGATGCAGACCCCATGGACATGAAGGGCTGACTACATTTCATTCCTTCTTATGGCTAATATTCCACTGTATGGACATATCACATTTTGTCTGTTTATAAACATTTGGACTGAGTCCACCTTTTGGCTATGATGAATAATGCCAATTCCCACAGAATTCTTTTTTGAGATAGTCTCAAGCTGTCACCCTGGGTAGAGTGCCATGGCATCACAGCTCACAGCAACCTCAGACTCTTGAGCTTAGTGATTCTCTTGCCTCAGCCTCCCAAGTAGCTGGGACTCCAGGCGCCTGTCACAACACCTGGCTATTTTTTGGTTGTAGTCGTCATTGTTGTTTGGCAGGCCCAGGCTGGATTCGAACCCGCCAGCTCCAACGTATGTGGCTGGTGCCCTAGCCACTGAGCTATAGGTGCTGACCCTCCCACAGAGTTTCTAAATAGTTACTATTAACCAAGGAACTAAATGTACATATGAACTGTGCCTATGACCAAGCAGAGGTTCTTGGGGATTTCTATCTTTATCCCTCACCAAAATCTCCTCAATCCAGAGATGAAAAACAGATCTAATGACTGTATGAGCCTCTGCATAGCTTATGCCATGACTTTATGGGCTGGCTTACCATCACTTTGTTCTGGCCATACTACTTAATAGGTAACACTACCCACATCCACCACCTGACCCAGTTTATACCTGTTCATCCTTCAGGTTTTTTAAATCACTTCCTCCCAGAAACTTCCCCCCTCCTCATAGGCTGCACTAATCAGTATCAGAATACACCACAACATAATTTAACTTACTTATTCTCTCTCTCTGTTCTATTCGGCTAAGAATAGGAAATAAGTCTGCCTTACTGTTGTATTCCCAACACCCTGTGCTTGGCATCCCATAGATGCTTAATAAATGTATTAAGTATAAATGAATAAAAGGTCCTCATCTTTGACAGTTTACTGTCAGTCTATGACACAGACCCTATACCCTGGAACTTTCTTTTGTTCTGAGTCAGGGAAAAGCAACATATGCCCTCCTCTTCTGTTCTCAATAACTCAATCATCCATAACTCTGAGATAGAGGGTCTGACAATAAGCATAAGTCAGAGCTTGGAGACAATATTCTTGGGCACCCACACCAATGTGCAGCAGAACAGAGCTCTGGCTTTGGTGTCAGGCACACTTGAGTTTGAATCCCAGATCTACTATGTACTAGCTGTGTGACCCCCGTCTGCTTGAGCCTGCTTCCTCACCTGCAAAATGGAATTAAGTGAAGTTAAGTCACAGATGTGTTGAAAAGACTTTATGAGGTAATGTGTGTAAACTCTTACCGCTGGCACATACTAAGTTTACAGCACAGTTCCTTACTGACTTTTACTAAAGTATCTGTAGAGAAAGGCTAAAATGCTTTTGCCACTCCTTTTCTGCACTGCTTTGGTAACTTCTACGAAGCCTATCATTGCCGTGCCTAGCTTTTGTTAAGGGAAATGCCAGAAAATGGATTTTTGACAGAGGTCCCACTGCAACAGTGTCTTACAGCTTCTCGGCTAGCTTGTCCAGAACAATGTCACCAGCTGCCAGCTGCTTGCGCCTCAGTCGCTCCTTTAAGTCGGGGAAGGCCCGAAGAGCCGGCACATCCTCAAACCGCAGGTTCTGTGCAGCCTGCAGCTGTTCTGCCAGGTTGCTGAGGGAGGTCAGGAGGGGCTGGCAGTCACGCAGAGTGCTCTGCCACAGGCCCTCCTGCGCCTCCACCACCGGGAAGCACTTCCTCAGGGCCTCCTGCACCGCAAGTAAAGGCCGGTCTTCAGTCATCTTCTACTGGAAAAACAAAAACACAAAGAAAAAACTGCGTTAAGATGCCAAGACAGTAGGGGCACTGCGCTGAGGGTGGGCGTCTGTTCCGTCCCTGTGGGAGGTCAAGTTCTCGGCCTCCAAGTCCCTTCAGGTAGGAGCGTTTTCTCACCTTCAGAAGGGGCTCTCTGATGCACAGACGCGTTTCCCACGTGGGAAAAATGTCCCGGCTATCGCTCCAAAGAGGCTCTTCCGGAATAAGGCAGTCTCCTATTCAGATTGTGGATTCCCCGGGCTTAAACGCTGTATCCTTTCTCACTCGTGCTTCAGGAGCCGGGATCCTGTTTCTCTTCCCTGAGACTGCCGCTCACGTTCCTGAAAACAGCGGGAAAACGCAAAGCTGCAGCAACCAAAGCATAAAAACACACTAGGAACCCACACCACGCGCATGCTCAAAAGCGACAACCCCTATAGGCAACTTCAGGCGGGGTGGAGGGAGGGGGGGGTTGTCTGCTGAGTCGCTAAAATATGTCCTCAATCGCAATGAATTCTGGGCACTGCAGTCCTACATGCGGATTGGCTACAGGGCTGTAAGACTTCTCTGTGATTGGATGTTGGGATCATCCTAACACTGCACGTGAGTCAATCTGTGAGAGTTTGAATGCTTGGCGGTGCTGGCCTGTCAGGTTGGCAGTGGAGCCTCATCCTCTCAGCTTGCACCTCCGGCTATTCCTTAATGACACTGTTGAGTTGACACTGTGTGTGGCACAATCAACTGGCCAAAACTGGTGAATCACACGCTCCTGCCATGTGGTAGCTGTGGCTAAGGTGCAGGTGAACATCCTAGATAGGTCTCATTGGGAGTGGGGTGAAGCCCTGAGAGAAAGAGACCAGGAAACCCGACTTGCTCAGCACCAAGATATCTGCTAGGAGGAAACTTACTTGAGGTATGGGATTGTTATCAGAACCCCTCAATCTTGGCCATCTAGTTGGAGACTCTCAGGCACCCAGCAAGTAGACTAGGGTGTTACCCCCCACCCACGGCTAAGAGATGATCTTGGGCAGGAGAGCAACATTCTGATACTTCTTGCATCTGGAGCAACAGATGCATTCCAGGATGGAATGGAAAGGGGGGGAAAGCTTCCAAGAAGGGCCAGGCTTGCCAGCATTCCTATGCTTGGGGTGCTTTGTCTCCAAGCCTGATGGTGCTCATCAGGAGCCTGTCTGGCACATTTACTTATTTCCTAGATCTGTTCTTTTTTTTTTTTTAATTATACAGAGTCTCACTATGTTGCCCTCAGTAGAGTGACGTAGCATCACAGCTCACAGCAACTTCAAACTCTTGGACTTAAGCAGTTCTCTTGCCAGGGCCAGGCTTGAACCCGCCAGCCTGGGTGCATGCGGCTGGCGCTGTAACTACTGTGCTACAGGCGCTGAGCCCCTTGATTCGTTCTTAAGAAAAGTAATATTGGGTGGCACCTGTAGCTCAAGCAGCTAAGGCGCCAGCCGCACACACCAGAGCTGGCAGGTTCGAATCCGTCCCAGCCCACCAAACAGTGACAACTGCAACCAAAAAATGGCCAGGAGTTGTGGCGGGCACCTGTAGTCCCAACT